AAAATCAAGGCAATCTGGCTCCAGATTTTTACCATGTTGCCTCTAATAAATTTAAAAATAAAAATTTTATAGGTTATGATAACATGTTGAAATAGAAGTTATTTCAAACGTAGTTGAAAAATAACTAATTGTTAACATTTACCAACTGCCTTAAATATGTTTATTTAAATTTGCATCAATGCTATGATTTTTGACTCAAATAATATGCTAAGGCAAATTGCTTTATAATAATCTGTAATAAATATGACATGCACAATTAACATACTTGACGTATGACAAGGAGCTGAGTTAATTTGATATTCTTTTAGCAAATCAGCTTCTTACTGGGACTGTAAAACTGTTTTTCTGCTTAAAATATTAATACTGGCAATTTAGTGTTTCTTATGTATCAGGTACTGTGCTGTGATAGATTATAGATGTCACAAATTCTTTGCTATGTCTACTATTGAGAGTGGAGTCTGTTTCTCTTTCTATTGAATCTAGGTTGGCCTCAGTGATTTGTTTGAACAATAGAATGTGGCAGAAGTGACATTCAGGGCCTCCTGAGACTAGGTCATGAGAAGCCTTGCAGCTTCTGCAGAAGTGTCTTGGAATGCTCACTCCTGGATCCCAGCTGCTGTACTGTAAGGAAACACAAGCACCATGGAGAGGCCCACATGGAGAGGATCCCAAGTCCTGACAGCACAGACTTGCCAACCATGCAGGTGAGCTCTTTTGGGAGTATATCCTCCAGCCCCAGCAGATGCCAAGAGTAGGATGAGCTGATTCCACTGAGCTCTGCCCAAATTATTGATTTGTGAGCAAACTGAGACAGTGGTTGCTTTAAGCATAAAGTTTAGGAGAAGTTTATTACACAGCAAGAGATGGCCAGAACATGTGCTACAGCCTTTACAAATGTCTTAATTTATTCCTCACAATCATCTTATAAAGGAGCTATTAATATCCTGATTTTAAGATGAGGACGCTGAGGCTCAGAGAGTTTGCATAATAATCCAGGTCTGTTGGCTCCAATTTGATGGATATTTCTCCTGACTGATAACATTACTTCACTTTATGATCCATCTCATTCACAAGACAACTGTGAGTCAGACAAGGCTAAGGTCAATTCTTAGTTTTGCCCTTATTGGCTGTATGCCCTTGGGCAAACAGAAGATGTGGGTTACATGTTATACGACTGTGAAGATTCCAAAGATACATATACAGGACTTGGCAGATGGTAGGCACTCAACAATGAGTAAATATTATTTGCTTTGAGAATTCTTTCCTGCGATGAACAAGTAGCTGGCAGTAAAGGACTCTCAGAAATGGTCTTTGATAGTGTGAACATGGGATACACACTCACGTTTAGGGTCAGGTATGTGTCAAAATGTCCGAAGAATTTACCTGACTTTTTTTTTTTTTTTTTTTGTGAGGAAGACCAGCCCTGAGCTAACATCCGATGCCAATCCTCCTCTTTTTTGCTGAGGAAGACTGGCCCTGGGCTAACATCCGTGCCCACATTCCTCTACTTTATATGGGACGCCGCCACAGCATGGTTTAACAAGTGGTGCGTGGTGTGCGCCCAGGATCCGAAACGGCGAACCCTGGGCCGCCGCAGCGGAGCACGCGCACTTAACCGCTTGCGTCACCAGGCCGGCCTCTTTACCTAATGTTTTAAAGAAAAAATCCTGCTAACATCACATAATGATAAACTATGTATGCATATATGGCTTCTGTTACATGGTGCATAATACAGATTTCTTTGAAGTTGAGGACATTCCTGATTCATCAGCTGTGTTTTACTATCTCGGTTTTAAAGATTCCTTCCAGCTCTAAAATTCTGTTAATTTTACTTTGCCTCATTCTACCACCTTGAATGTGGAGTACCTTAGAAAAAAATGCAATCAGCCAACTTATGACCCATGCCATTAACTACATGCAATTTGTAATTTGTATGCTATTCCTGAACAAGCTATTCTGAGAACCTCTCTCTATTGCTTGCTTCCATCAATTTTTAAACAGAGACTCACTTGAGTAAAACAGGTCCTATCAAGCTGCTATCATCTTCTCCCTTGGAATCCAGGAGAAAGAGTGTGAGGAATGACTGAGCAGCTTGCATGGAGAGCAGCAGGAAGGCACGCGGCCATCAACACCACTGGGTCTAGAGTAAGCACTCAATAAATACCTTGAGAATTGAATCTACTCTTTTTCCCTTTATCCTTTTAACCTGTCTTACCCATTTATTTCCGCTTAACAGTGGATGATGGTGGTAGGCAGTAGTAGCAACTAAAACCACAACAGCTGGTAGAAAGAGTGATCCCCCCCCACCCCCCGACTCCTGCTTCATGCTGTGCTACGTTCTCAGTCCTAGCCTATGGCATGAGCTCCGGCTGGGGCTGGCGGCCCACAGAGCTTCTAATCCCAGTCCCTTTTGTTTCTGTTCTCTTTCATACTAATATTGGGGATCTGACTGACAGGCTGATAGGACAAGACAAAGTACCACGGAGAAGATCTAAACGACGTACGATAAATCTGAGTAATATCTACTAAAATCTGTACCCTGTAAACAAAGAATACACTTTTTTAAGGTGCTCCTGAAACATCTGAAAAATTGAGGAAAGACAATAAACTCCCCAAAGCAGATTTAATACACCCAACATTCTCTGATCTTGATGCCATAAAAATAAAAATTAATAAAAGAATCAGAAAACAAAACTACTGCCCACACCAAAAATCCCTTTATCTGGGGGAAAATACAGTGAAGAAAAGAAAAAAGGAAAAAGCCTTCTTTTATACAACTTTTGAGTTAAAGAGGAAATAAAAACAGAAATTTCAGAACACCTAGAATATAAAAGTAATGGCAACACTAATACATCTAAGTGATTCACCTTAAGCAGTGCTCAGAATTGAGTGCACACCTTAAATCTCATATTAATAATTAAGAAAAAATAAAAATGAATGAATGAAGTGCTAACTCAAAGAGTTAGGGGAAAATCCAACAAAATAAATTAAGCACAACACACAATAAGCAGAACAGAGCTATGAGCACAGAAGAGGAGAAGATAACTTTGCTCAACTCTAGGCAAATAAATTTGAAAACTTGGGTGAAATGATTTATGATCCCAGCTAAGATATAAAAACTACAGACCCAGCACCGTAAAAGACACCAACAAAGTTGTCACAGAGCTACTTGCCCAACATCCACTAGACTCAGGTAATTCTACTGAAATTTTAAGGAACAGAAAATTCCAATGCTATTTATTTTTTTTAATCTTTTTAATTTTTTTTTTGTGAGGAAGATCAGCCCTGAGCTAACATCCATGCTAATCCTCCTCTTTTTGCTGAGGAAGACCTACTCTGAGCTAACATCTATTGCCAATCCTCCTCCTTTTTTTTCCCCCCAAAGCCCCAGGAGATCGTTGTATGCCATAGTGGCACATCCTTCTAGTTGCTGTATGTGGGACGCGGCCTCAGCATGGCTGGAAAAGCGGTGCTTTGGTGCGCACCCGGATCCGAACCCGGGCCACCAGTAGCGGAGCGCGTGCACTTAACCGCTAAGACACGGGGCCGGCCCTCCAATGCTATTTAAACTGCTCCAGAGCATAGGAAAAGGAGGAAGTTTCTAAATTCCCCAGGATAAAATTACTAACAAAACTGCTTAAAGATAGCACACACAAAAAAACTACAGACTAATCTCACTGATGAATACAGATGCAAGTATCCTAAATAAAGTATGAAACATAACCTAGCAATATTAAAAGAATAATACACATGGCCAAGTAGAGTTTATTTCAGGAATGTAAGGATGGTTCAAAATTACAAAATATATTAACGAAATTCATCATATTAAAAAATCAAAGGAGAAAAATCATATGATCATCTCCATAGATAATGAAAAAGCATGTGATAAAATTCAACATGCATTCTTAATTAAAAATTTTTTTAAAATGGGCATCAACGGATACTCCTTAACATGATTAAGTGTATCTATCTCAACCCAATTCATTATAGCCAATATATTTAACCTTATTCTAGTAGTACTAGACAACGCAATTGAGACATAAAGAGATATGCAAATTGGAAGACATGACTGTGTAACTGGAAAATACAAAGGAATTAATTGAAACTCTATTATAAACTAGAAGAAAATGGAAGTCTGGTAGCTGGGTAGAAAATTAACATAAATAAATCATTAGCCCTCACCTATACTAAAATCAGACTATACTATAAACAGAAAGGATTTCTTTAATAGCAACAAAAATCAGGAGATTCCTAAGAATAAACTCTTGAAAAATGTACAATATCTCTGTAAACTAAAATGGGAAATGTGTCTGAAGGAAACAACAACAACAAAAGACTTGAACAAATGGAAACCATTTTTAGATAGGGCACCATGATTTAGACAGAAGCTTTAATATGATAATGATGTCAAATTTCCCTAAGTTAATCTATAAAACTGTCCAAAAAAAAGTACTAATGGATTTGTTTTGTGAAATTCAATAAGTTGATTTTAAAGTTCAAATGGAAAAATAAGAATACTTGAACATTTAAAAATTATAGTTATTAAAAGACTGAACAGTACAAAAAAGAAAGGCAGATCAATTGAAGAAAACAGAGCCTAGAAACATATCCAAATAATATGAAACTTAACAATATGATAAAGGGGCCATTTCCAATAGTAAAGAAAGGATAGATTATGTAATAAACATAGGGTAACTATGGTAATTACCTTGGAAAAAAAGTGTAGCCTTCAATTTAGGATAGATCAATGATTTAAATGTGAAAAATCAAATAACAGAAATGCCCAATTTTACTTTTAATGTTCAAACTCTGATATATTTTTTTCCCTTGAAAAACCATGCCGAAAAAGTATGCATAGTATGTTAAAATTTGCGTTACTATATACGGCATTTATATATATGGATACATTATGTATCTATGCATTATCTCTGGAGGGTGTGTAAGAATCTGGTATTGGTATCTGTCTCTCTGAAATGGAATGAAAAGATGGGCATCAGGGGTAGGAAAGAGCCTTACTTTTTACTGTTTGACCCAGAAAGATGTATGTGTTAATTAAAAAAAATAAATAAATAAAACATATGCCAGAAAACCAAAAAACCTCTATATGATTGTATATTACTAGTAGGACCTAACAAGATTAATTTGGGAAGCCAAAATCTGCCAGTAGAATAATCTATAGGAGTCTGTAATGTATCTGAAAATAATACAAAAAGATAACTGATTGCGTGACTGTATCTTACAAGATATATCAACTAAGAGGAAGTTTTCTCAAAAGCAAAATATTATTCAGGTCCTTAAGGATTTTCACCCTCGAGTGCTGGTATAAGCTACTACTTTACTATAAAGTAATTAAGAAACAATAACCTCCTCTTAATTTTTCTTCTAGATATAACTGCATATTTTGTGACCTGAATTTGTATATAGACCAAAATGAAACAAAAATAAAGAGCAATTTTGATTTAAAAAGTACCTCAAGACAATACAAAAAAAGTCATTTTAATTTTTGATACTTATTAAAACATTTCAGTCAGTTCTTCCTGACAGCATAACACGACAAATACACAAGACCTCAAACATGCTTTAAAATGACATTCAGCAAAGTATTTAAAATTTAATAAATAGCAATAATCACACACAAATACATTTTTCATACTCAATCATCAAGCTACTAAAACAGACAGCTAAAGAATAAATAAACAGGAATTGACAATAAAAAAATGCAGGTTTTGCAATTCTTACTTAAAAAGGGGGGTGATCTGAATGATTTCTGAATTTGCTTTTCAATAATGTAGCACGATCCCCCCATGAATAAAATATATTGAAAAAATCACTTTCGTACAACAATGTAGTCTTTAAATACAACAAATAAATATGAAACGAGCAAAGCAATTTCAAGTTGTAATAAAAATGCTCCCCCTTACCACCCAAAAGCTATGGAAATATATAGTCATTATGATAGCAAATAATAGTATTTAAAGTGATAGTGCTTGTGCACTAAACTCATCTGAGACCTTGATATGATTTTAGTGCAAATCCCTAGGGTCCAATACAAGCATAACCCTGCATCAGGGAAAGACATTACTAGTTGGAACTTATCTTGTACAATTTTTGTACATATTTTATAAAGTTCAAGATTTAATGCATAGTAGAGTATCTTCATCTGCTTAATTCTGTCCTTAAATAGAGATGAAAAAAGAAATGATTTTGGATTTTACCATTTGGTTTGTACCATATTAGAGTATTAAAGTCAACATTAGAAAATCTATAAAAGTTTTGTTTTTTGCCATTAATTTATCTAACTCTATCTAAATTTCACATCACTGCATGTTAAACAGAAGAGAAAAATTTTTAGACAAAGTGTTTTTCCCTCTGACAAGTTCATATTATGATGAAATCCAATAATATTTAGACAAATGTTATACAAATAAAAACACAGGTGAATATAAGGTTTTTTTTTTGTATATTAACAACCTTAACATCTAGTATATTAAGTTACAAGATGTATTGGCAAAAGCATAAAGGTTCAATTAAAAGAAGGAATTATTTTGTACAAACAAACGTTTTAACATAAGATAGGATAAACTGACAAATGAGTTTCAGCAGCCGTATTTCTACCGTGAACTACAGTACCAGGATAAAAACAATTAGAAACAGATGAAAGAACATTACTGAACAATAGGAATACATAATGCATTTTTAGCTGCTAAAATAGTGAACTCTCAAGTTCATAGAGTTACAAGTTGTTTAATTTAACCATGCAGGCTAACATATAACAATAAGAAATCACCCTGCATCTTTTTTCTTTTTAAATTAAACCTAGTTTAATTGTGAAGTTAAAAGACAATGAATGGATATTGCTCCAACTTGTATACAACCTCCCTCATGTGATTTGTACCTAACAAAGTAACAAAGCCTCATCATCACTCATTTCATTTTTCAGTGTTGCTTCCAAGCAAGTGTCCGGTACCTGGGCTGTGTGGACAATACCACAGCGCTCACAAGGGCCATCTCGATTACTTGGCCTCACCCCAGGGTCTGTTGCACTACAGGGTGGTCTAAACCCTTGTCCTTGATCTGAGGCGAGATCAAGAAGAGGTCTGGAGCAGTCACTCACGTCCAAGTCTGAAGCTCCATCAGAAACTGGAATTAGCATTTCGACATCATCGTCATCTTCTCTTCCATTTATCCCATTATCAAGTTGTCTCAAAGGGCTCTGGTTCTGGTTTACAGAGCTTGATCGCCCCAATGTAAAACGTACCCAACGCAGCCCCTGAGTCATACGACTTAGTGCACTTGTGAGCTGGTGACGTGCTGGACTCACACTTGGGGGGTCCACACTTGTCACATCCCTTCCATTATCTGTGTGACCACCTCGGGTACTCTGAGCAGAGGAACTTCCACTTGCTCCCACTGTTGCTTCTACCGCTGTTATGGGAGGGACTTTTTGCGGCAAGGGAGCTGCAACCCCACCAGATGCTCCTGCCGTATCTCTTCTTTCATTTTCTGTGTCTGTGTCGTCAGACTCCACGGAAAACAAACTTCTGTGAGTATGATTTCTTTCAGGTTCTCTGCTGGTACTCTGACTAGGGCCAACCTCATCTCCATCTGCTGAGACCAAAGCCAATGACCCTGAATGACGCGATCTTGCAAAATTAAAAATACGATTCCAAATGTTGCTGGATCTGCCTGCCATAGGAAGCCTGATTGAAGTAAATCCAAGCTGGGATCGCACGGCTAGCCTCAGGTTTTCCAAAACAGAAGCCTACAAAAATAAGAAAAGAAGATAGCTAACAACGAGGTATTGAGATGGAAAACACCTTTCTATTAAGAATGTGTTGTGGCTAAAAATTCTATTACTCATTGTTAGGGTCTAAGGAGGATGAATTAAATTCTCTTGTCTACACAGGTTCACCCCACTACAGAATCTAATCTGTAACTTGAACCACTGCTCACTGTGTTTAAGATTTTCTTGACACTTCATTTTATATATGCAACTTTAAAATTATATTTAATGTCAATTATAACAGCTATTTTATTTCAAACACAAGTGTACCAAAGCTGGAAAATAAAATTATTTGATACTTCTTTAGCTAGGAAGGTAGAAGAATCTCCACCATAATTCACTAAATGACCTAAAGCAGTGTGAAAACCAGGCTCTTTATCTGTTTTTTGTTTGTTGAAACACAGAACAAGTTAGACTTGATTTACAAGGCTGAAACTTTTCAAAACATGTGCAAATTATATTTCACAGTTGATCTCAGGGATTTGTTGAATGAATGGATACTGAGGACTTATTTATATTGTCATAAATAAAGGAATTAATATGTTTGTAATACAGAACAGGAAACAAACAAGCCAAAGAAATTAATGCATTTATAGCACTACACAATGGTATCTGAGACATCCAGATTCCTTTCCAATCTTTAAAGATTAAGTTTTATTTTCTACAGCTTAGTGTTAAGCATAAATTATCATATCCTTATTCTTTGATAATTGGTGATTTTTCTTAGTGTATATGGGAGGTGACTATATTGCCCAACTGAAAGAAAAATCTACTCTTTTTTCTAGATGAATGAGTTTACAGATCATTTTAAAAATGTACAGCATTTATATAAAACAGTCTTTAAGCTCCATCTAGTGGTTATAAAAAGAAGTATTCACACTTGGAACAGACACAGCTTTTATCAATCTGGCATTCAGTATTTAAATTACAGTATTTCCAGGAAACAATGGTGACTCGATACACTCCCTTACACTCCCTTGCAAATGATGATACAGTTTCCCTCTGCCAAAAGGAAGGGCTTACACTCCCTTGCAAATGATGATACAGTTTCCCTCTGCCAAAAGGAAGGGCTCTTGCCTTTCCCCACAGAAAAAAAGAGGGGAGGAGAAAAAGGAAGATGTGATAGCATATGTTCTTCATCTCTCTTCGTGACTGGTATTGAATCTATTTGTGATTTCCATATAGGCCTTTTGAACATAATCCCTGGAATGTAATTCACAGAAAGCTAAGAAGTTACTATCATAGGAATATTTCATAGTCTATCCTTGGTAAAGCACAGACTGTCAGTAAGAAATATGGATATCAGCACACACAGATTTGCTACACAAATGAGTAAGATTTTTCACCAATTAAGAAGTACCCAACTATAAATTAAAAAAAAAAAAAAAAAAAGTGGTTCACATCCCTATGAACTTGTCCATAGATCTGGCCCTCACCATTTAGCATGCAGACTCTAAGGCTTGGTGTGAGCACTGTTATTACAGTCAGCAGTGCACAAACGGCTCTTCAGATATCCTTCCCTTTCATGGAGCTACCATCCATCAAGATCAACAATACCCTTAGCACACCTGAACGCTGACTTTCACCTTACAGTCTATCATGGTGAGGTGCAGCTCTCGACTTAGCTCAGAATGTTTAATTAAAGGACTGCCATTTTAACATTAGATACTATGAGGGGATCTCATGAATGTTTTAGAAATAATTTTATACACTTCTTCAGTTTATGAAGCAAAAGAAAGCATTCCTCAGAAAGCATTTCCATTTTGAATGCGATGGTAATTTAGAAGATTATTTTTCTTTTTAAAAACTGCTATGGAATTTTGATAATTTGTTACCCAAAGTTTCAAATTTGAGTTTCATCTCATTAACTGAATAAAGTTTAGTTTACCATTGATAAACATGTTTTATCTTAAAACTTTGTTGAAGTAGAATTCCATCACAAGGGTAAATTATAACCCTAGAGAATGGTGTAGTATGTAATAAAGATGTAAACCTTACCCAAAGTGAGGTCTGACCTTTGCCCTTTATTTTGGGATATGATCTCAGTCCTTGGAATGTCATCTCTGATGGAAGTGTCACTGCCTGGAGCCTTAGGCCACCCAGATAGTGACAGTGTGTTTTAGGCGGAGGCTCTGAGCCACACCAACACTGTGATGTAGGTGGGGGGGGGTGCTCTGGGTCAGCAGTACCAGCCAACCTCTGGAGGGGCTCGAGACTGAGATCAGCCACTTTTGCTCACGTGATGGAGCCCCAATATGGAGCCCCAATCCTGCTTATGTGATGGAGCCCCAATAAAAACTCTGGACACTGAGTCTTGGGTGAGCCTCCCTAACTGGCAATATTTTGTGCATACTGTCACACATCTGTGTCGGAAGAGTAACACTGTCCTGACTTTACAAGGAAAAGACAACTGGGAGGTCTGTGTTTGGTACCCTCCCGAACCCTGTCCTAATGTGTCTTTCTTTGGCTGATTTAATCTGGGTTCTTTCCCTGTAATAAAAGGCAACTGTGAGTATAACAGCTTTCAATGAGTTTTCGAGTCCTTCTAGTGAATTACCAAACCTTAGGATGGTTCTGGGAACCCCTGAACTTGCAATTGGTGTTAGAAGTGAGGGCTGTCATGTGTGGATTGTGCTCCCTCTAATCTCACAATTGGCTAAACTCCTGAAGGTAGCCTCAAGGTGCAGGGGTGGTGGGGGGTAGATGGTAGAGTGTGTGAACGGAATTAACCATCGTCTGAATTCCCACCTAAAAATAAACCTTACCCATGGCCAGACCACAAAGTAGGTTTTTTCTCTATTTTGCACATAAAATTCCAACCAGTGGAACTTCTCAATTATTTACTTATTAGCAAATTACATCCAGAGAAATGTTTTAAAACTACAGATTCTCACCAAAGATTTCCTAAATAAGGCAACAGACTCTAATCAGAAATCTCATTTACCAAAAAGGAAATGGTCTTCTATTTTGAACAGAATTAAATCACTGTTTATCAATTTTTCTTAATTCTAATACTGGGAACAATTTTATTAAATGTTTCTGGATGAATTTACATTTTAAATTTATAAACCCTATGCCCTTAGGAACCTTGGCACCATCTTAAGCATTACAAAAGAAATTAAAAAAGAATCACCAACAGAAATTTAAAGAATTCAGAAACATTAAAGAATGAGTGACTATTTAAAGAAAATAGTGTGAATTCTTAAGCACTGTAAAATCCAGCTGAAGAAGTTTTCCCCCAAGTCCGGTGAAAATGTTAACTTAATTTCAACTACTTTTACTTATAACTAGTTAATCTAGCATGCTACTAATATAGTACTAGCACATTAATTTTAGTATTCATTCTTAAATCTTCTGAATGTTCAGTTCAAGTAGAAAATAATTTGCCAAACTTTACTTTTGAATTTTAATGCACTAAATTATCCTATACAGTAAAATGCTTAAGAATCACATAACCTAATTGGAAGTAAAGAATGAAAAGTATACTTTTATATTCTGTAGTATTTGTTAAAATACAATGAAACCATTGTAATTTCAAATCCTCCATATATTTAATCCTTGACTTGACCGCAAAAATTCTGACAGTCAAGGATGCTTTACCATACATGCAGGTATAGGTTTCAGTTTAAGAGGCACTGAAATAGAAATCATAAATTGCAACATACCTGATTAGGGGAACAAACAGGGAAATCCTCAACCGGTGGAATTAAACCCTGAGCAATCAACTGTCCGTAAGAGGGAGGGGCTTCTCTTCTTAACAGTTCTGCTTCCACTCTTGACAACTGTGTCTCAAATGACCTTGGAGAGGAAACAGGGATAAAAAGGGTTAAAAAAAAGGCAAGCCAAAACATTTTTTTTTTATTACCAACAATTAAAACAATCTGAATTTTAATATAGCTGATCATTTTTAAAGCTTAGTCAACCAACATTTACTGAATATCTATACCACCCGTACGCTGAGAATACACAGATGAAGTAGAGAGTCTGTCTTCACCGGGCTTTACACTAGGAGCCTGGATCACTAAGTTTTAATAAACTAGAAATACCTGTAAAAGGTAAAGGTATTAGATCTTTAAACCCCTAAGATCACAGGGGGCTCGAGACTTTAGGTCAAAGTACTTGAAAGCTCTTAGAAAACACATAAAGTGTCATCAAGTCCAACACATTTATTTTTCAGATTAGGAAAAGAGTGAAATGAGTCACCAATACACTTTCTGGAATGTGAACTCAAGACCTCTGACTCTTCATTGTGCTCTCATGTTGCATGTCATAAAAAGTTTTCTGGCCATTTATACTCATCCAAAGAAAAGACAAAGCATGGTTATTGTGATTCTGTGCATCTGTGTGCATCCATTCTCAGCTGTCTGGTATGTGAAGTGCTTTGCTGAATCTATTGTTTGTGACTCTCCTGGGACTGGGAGGTTCATTGTCTCTCCAACACCCTAGGGGGCCTTTGCCATCAACTTACCCCAGGTCCAGTCTATCCTCTACCACATGGAAGACAATGCAACCATTTCTTACTTAACTGAGAACTCTGATGCATGGCTTTCACCAAGCTCCACAACAGGACACTAGCCCTCAGGTTCCAGTCTTATCTCCTATTAGTCCTTCATATGTGTCTTAGGCTCTAGACAAATAGAACTATGTACTTACTCTCCGAGCAATGCTGGGCATTCCTACTTCTATGTGTTTTCCTAGGCTATTTTTTTCAACTATAATACCTTTACCCTTTCTACATTCTACTCATAGATTTCAAGCGGCACTTCAATGAAAAGTCTTTCACCCCCTCCTCCCAACAGATTAGGCATCTTTTGACTTTTATACCATTTTGTTTTATAGCTCTTACAACACTTATATTTTTTGTCCTCTTGTTCCACCCACCAATTCCTTCTTTCTAGCTGTAAACTGCCTGTAACATAACACCTTACTCATTTTTCTATTCATCTGTACAGTGTTTTGAACATAGTAGTTTCTCAAAATATCTGGAATTGTCGAATTAATATTTATAAAAACCCAGGTTAAAAAACTGCAACTGAGAGTTGCAGCTTGCAAAATTCCTATGAAACAGATTAATCTGAAAACAGGAACTGTAAATATGGTTTGGCTTTTCTCACATCATAACTCTAGGTATTTATCTGTTTTTTAATGTGTTTAGCCTTTTGAGTTGTAGGCTTTTCACAGTAATTTCATAAATCATAAACAATATTTATCTATTTCTAAAATAGTATAAAACAAAAATATACTGCTAATCACATTAAAGTACTTGTTGCAAATATTCGGGCCATGTTTTTATTGTGGAGAGCATAACCACTGTAGTTCTGTCTTGACACTGACCTTCGTTCAAACATTCTCAGAGAGTAAAGCTTACAGGTGCATCCCAGCGCTATGACGAGTAAGAGGCCACAGATAAGGCTCCCTATGACGGCCGCAGTTATGACTCTGGTAGGCACAATCACTGGGCAATTCTCCTCATCGCTGCCATCTCCGCAGTCGTCTTGAGAATCACACACCCAGCTTTCAAACACACAACGATTGTTTTTACAATGAAAATTTCCTGGCTGGCAAAAAAAGCAGTTTTTTTCATCTGAGCCATTTGGGCAATGATTCTGATAGTTGCAACGATCAGAACGAGGATAACAGACACCGTTTCGGGAACATGGGAATTCTTCCTTTTGGCACATGGTACAATTGATTTCGTCCCTTCCATTTGGACAATGCCAGTACCCATCACATCGCTGCTGCTCAGTATAACACCCCCAGTTACCTCCACAGGGTATTTCCCACGGCAAACAGAAGCCATCTACTTGGTAAGTAGCATTAAATCCCCTTGCAGCATTCACTTTATCGGCACAAAAATGTACCCTTATCTGTCCAGAAGAAGAAACAACTGTGAGAGGCGCATGAGAATCAAAAGCAGTTAACACACGCAAAAGCTTGTGTGGATTCTCCTCTAATCCATCGTATATTTTGACATAATCACCATAACCAGTACCATCCAGTTTAAAGTCAGTGAAGCGTAAAATGACTTTACGGTGATCACCAGTGTCTATTAACCAGGTGCAATTGCTTCCAGGAGGATAAAAGTCTGGATAATTGGGAGAATTAAAAGTACCATAAAAATATTTTAACCACTGCCCACAAGTTGGCACATCACAGTCTATCTCATCCCCTAGGTCAAGGCAGTCAATGTTCCCATCGCATTTTAAAGATTCCGGGAGGCAAGTGTAAACTTTGGTAAATCGGGACAGACACTGGAACTGGTTGTAAGCACAGGGTTGAAAAGAAGCAGACGGTGGAGGATTAGCTTCTCGGGCACAGATCTCTTCATCAGAACTGTCTCCACATTCATCCATGTTATTACATTTCCAGGCTTCCGGTATACACTTCCCATTACCACAACGAAACTGATCACAAGCACAGTGTGGTTCCTCAGATTTCCCTGGAAGGACATGCGGAGGAGGGAGATGCAGAGGGAAGGAGAAAAAAACATACTCTTTAAAAGATTATATAACAGCAAGTGATATTTTTATAACAAATGTGGATTTGCCCAAGTGACAGGGGTTTAAAAGGTCTTGTTTTAAAAATAAGTTAAGGTCTGGGGCCGGCCCGGTGGCACAAGCGGTTAAGTGCGTGGGCTCCACTGCAGTGGCCCGGGGTTCGCTGGTTTGGATCCTGGGCGCACACCGACACACCGCTTGTCAAGCCATGCTGTGGCGGTGTCCCATATAAAGTGGAGGAAGATGGGCATGGATGTTAGCCCAGGGCCAGTCTTCCTCAGCAAAAAGAGAAGGATTGGCAGATGTTAGCTCAGGGCCGATCTTCCTTACAAAAAAAATAATAATAAGTTAAGGTCTGATGGCAAATTAATATTGGCTCATTAATTACTCAACAATTCAATTTATTAAACACACATGATGTGTTCCATGAAGATCTTTACAGTTTGATCTAAAGAAAAGGGACCAATTCTGTTTTTGCAGAGAGCTATTTTACTGCAGAACATTTAGTAAAATGACATAAGACATATGAGCCAAGAGGATATACTGCCTAAGAATTTTAAATAACCTACTGTATAAACATCATTAAAATAACAGACATTTTGAAATGAAGAAAAATTCATCCACAATAATGACCTTTTCAAATCCATTTTTTTCATGTTCTTTTCTAGTTGTTTATATATATACAATACTTTGCTATGTATATCATAGCATATTTCATAAGCCCATTATTTAGATTCAAATTTTTGCTAAGATTATCATAAGGTTAACTTGATACTGTTCATAATGTTTCATGTAACCATAAAACAGTACTTTCATTTTATAATTTCTATTGTTTTTAACACAACTGGAAAATATTGCATGAATCTGAGCTAAAGGTATAAATTTATTCATCAAAATAGTAGAGGGAAGGAGAAAAAAAATGAAATGCTTATAGAATTCTAATTATCTTAGTGTACCATCCAAATAGGTAACAATAATAAGGTGGGGAAAGAAACTAAACTTTAGATCCCTACAGTCCCCAAACTGACAATGTTGGGCCAATGCTTACTTCTCCATTAACAACTAATTATTGGTAAACAGATGACAGAAAATGTGCTTCAGAAGCTAAATAAATATTACAAAGACTGTGTTTTTAAGAAAAAAGAAAAAAGCAGCATGTTTGCTAAGTGAAATCATGTAATTTCAGAAGACGTAAAACGATTTTCAGCAAAAAGTATACATAATTCTAAGGCTCTTAGTTATTCACATTTGTATGATCTAGTCACTCTTTTTGAACAAAGTTTAAGAATACCAACAGAAGACTTCTGAAACTACAAACTATGAAGGTGAAATTAGTTATGTCTTTTTTTGAAGGTGTAAAGACAATGGTAATTTATACCTTATACAAAAATATATTCCGAAGTAACTTTCAGGATATGGGTAAGCACTTGAGGGAGAAAAAGTTACATGTACAATAAATGTATTTAAAATATTTTAAAAGACAGTTGACCTTAGTTTATAAAATTAATTTTATTAGGATTATACAAAACACCTTTCTGAGACCCAGCTCAGGGCATCTGAACCTTTAGCTTCTAATTCCTCAATCTCAGCAGCCTTGAGGACTTAGTCACAATTAAATGGACGTTGTTTAGAAGACTAGCTCAAAGTGACTGAGCACTTAACACTACAGAATTCTGTTCAATATTTTTCTTCTTATTTAAAAACACACCTGAAAAATATGACAGTCTGAAACCCTTTCTAGAGATACTGTCATCGGAATGGAACCTGATCCAGACGTGGTCTTGTGAAGAAATATATGGTGGTGGAATTGTGGAACCACACACTCTGTAACTTTCAATATTGTTGTATGTTTCTATTGTCAGCCAGTCCAAACTGCATCTTCTGGATCCTTGAATATCAAAATCCTGAAAACTACAAATAAGATGTCAGAAAATACATTAAAAAAGGTAATTTTGGAAAAAAATTTCATAATAATACAATGTAACTGAGGACTTTATTATAAGCCTCCATATATTCATTGATTCTCCTGGGTTTTCCAAGCATACAACCAATCATCAGCACATAATAATACTGCTTCTATGTTCCCAATATTTGTATCTCTTTCCCAGATTCCAGAACAATACTTCTTCATTAGCAACACCAGATTCCAAAATGATGCTAAAAAAAAAGGTGATAGTTGGCATCTTTTTTCTTTTCCTTCTCTGTGTGTTTGTGTTTAGGAATGACCACTTCTAATTCAGAACATCCTAAACTGTTCTGCGTTTGAAGCAGAAACACCACTCCATAATCTGATGAAGTGAAGTACACACAGAAGTCAGCCTTCTCTCAGATTAGACTGCTTCATATGCTTGCTTAATGAAGTTTATAGCTTACATTTTCAGGACAGCAAAAAGCACAAATCTCAGCAAAGTAAAAAAATTTAAAATGAACAAAAAATTTTTTGAAAAGTCCCTGAATTTGGGAATACATTTTTTATACAAATTACTTTATAGCTAAACATTATCTTGTACATCATAACATATGAGCATGAGTAAAGGGCAATAAAGTCAAATAAATAAAAGCACATACAAAATTAGCCACTGCTATGAAAAAAAAGAAACCAAAATATCATTCTCCAATAATATGTCTCACCAAAAAGTGAAGATCTGACTTTATTGCCTTCCCTCTGCCTTAAACTAAGTGATAATCAAATTAATTATCCAATGATTATATCAGGATATCACCTCTTTATTCTGAAAAACAATAACAAAGGTCGACAATTTGTTTCCAGTTTTTCACTGTTATGAACAACGCTTTAAAGAATCCTTATACGTGTATCTCTCTATATACACATGAGCAAGTTATTTCTTCAGGACAAATATTTCTAGAAGTATAATTGCTAGGTCAAAAGAAACAATTCCACCAAGAGTGTATGCAAGTACCTTATATCCCACAACTCTGGCAAAAATGATACACTATTTTTAAAAAATTTGTTGCCAATTAGGTGGATAAAAAAGATTTATCCTTGTGCTATTTTGCATTTCCTTATTTACTGAGATTGAAACACTTTTTCCTATGTTTATTGGCTATTTCTATTTCTATTCCCGTGAATTGTCTTGTTATATCCTTCATCCATTACAAGTTTTTCTTATTTATTTAAGAGCTCCTTATAGAGTATAAACACATACTGTTCTGTCTGGCATGTCTGTTATGTGCACACACCCACACCCACACTCTCTCCAGTAGTTGGCGCTGTCAGTCTTTGCAATTTTAGTCAGTAGCGGGCATGTAATGGCATCTGTCTTTGTGGTTTTGTGTGCACTTCCTTGAAGACTAAGGACATTGAACATCTTTTCACGTGTTTACTGGCCTTTCTTACAACTTCTGCAAAGTGTCTGTTCAAGTCTTTTCCCTATTTAAAAAAACTGGGCTGTCTTCTTGAGTTATAAAAATTCTTTTCATATTCTAGATTCAAGTCCTTTGTTAGATATATGTATTGCTAATATCTTCTTCTAGTCTATAGATCATCTTTTCATTTTCTCAAGGGTATCTCTTAATGAGCAGAAGTTTTTACTTTTAGTTCTGATGAAGTCTAATTTATTTATTATTTTTTCTTTCTGTCTAGTGCTTTTAGTGTCCTTTCCAAGATATCTTTGCTTACCCCAAGATCCAAAAGATATGCAACCATGTTTTCTTTTAATATTTTAGAGTTTTAGCTTTTACGCTCATAGCTAGGATTTATCTTGAATTAATTATCGGGTGTTCTCAGGGATAGGTTGAGATTCCTATACTAATTTTTTGTTCTATCATGCTGTTAAATTACTGTCTGATCACCCTGAACTTGTGGAGGTTTGGTTTTACACTTTGTTAGTGAGTTTGGTTCAGCTTTGCTCTAAGTCTTAGGTGAGCTCTTAATTTTTAGACATTGTCTTTTCTTATAAAGTATGACATTTCTGGGATGCCAATAAAAATTCCAAGGTATTTACCAAGCCCCTAAACTCAGCAAGTTTCAAACTCCAAACTCTGTGTCCCCTGTGATGGACAGGATTCCAACTCCAAATTCTTCCTCACCTGCAGTACACAAGCAGCTGAAATCCTTGCACAGCTTTTCCTACGGGGTTCCTTGGAGTCTCTTTAAGCATGCACAGTTCAGGGGTCAGCCAAGGATTTGAGAAGAATTTACGTGCAGATATAAGGGCTTTCTACTTTGTGGCTCTCTCCTTTCCAGATGTGCCTTTTCAATTTCCAGCCACTCTGACAGCCTCAACTCCATCCTCTGACACCTCCAGCTGACAAGACTGCGGTGATCTGCTTGAGTTCTAGTCTCTCCATTCTGCACGGACTGGGGAGCAAAGAGGAAACAAACACATCTCACCCAGTGTGGTTCTCTTCTTTCAAGGGTTGAATTCCCTCCAGTTTCTGCCAGCTTTTGATTACTCTCCACTGCCTTCAAATAGTTTTTTAAAAAAATTTTATCCGAACTTGATAATTGTTGTTTATGGGAGGGCTAGTTCAACTCAAGCTAGGGAATCCCTTAACATACTTTTAATCCACTAAAATCTTTAAGATTTATGAAAGCAAAGACCTTGTCCAGAACAAAAGAAATAACCAATCAATCAATCTTTATTCACGTATACAGTATGGGATCTGGTTTGCTAATATTTCATTTAGGATTTTAAAAATACACTTATAAGTGGAAATACTTTTCAGTCTTTCTTTTTTTATGCTTGATCAGTATTTCCAAAGCTTATCTTTGTTAGTTTATGTAACAAAGACACTGTTCACATACCTGTGCCTTTTGCCTCTTTAGAGTGTAGATTTAGGGTAGATATTTTCAATTTCTTCATGTTTTTGGTTTAATCAGCTTTTCCTAAACTTTAATTGAGTCAATTTGGATAATTTAAATTTTCTTAGAAATTATCATTGTATCTTGATAGTAAAACATTATTATAAAGCTGTACATAGAACTTCTGTACAATTTTAAAAATTTTCTTATCTGTGATCTTTAAATTGCTTGGATTTTTTATGTAGATAAGCACAGTATTGGCAAATAAGGAGAGTTTCACCTCTTCCTTCTCACTGCTTTATCACAAATTTCTATTTCTTGTCCTGTTGCATTTACTGAGGCTCTAGCACAGGCTGTGAAAAGCGTGCACATCCTTGTCTTGGCCTTTGGTGCTAAATAACTTCCATATAAGTTTGATTTAAAAATGTTTTTTAACAGATACTTTTTATCAGGTTAAGGAAATTCCTTTTCTATTCATTTGGTAAAACTTGCTTGTAAAAGTATCTGGGTGTAGAATTTTATTTTGAATGTCGATCCAATTTCTTTAATGGCTATGGATTTAATCAGTTTTCTAATTCTTTTTGAATCAATTTTGGTAATATATGTTTTCTAGAAAATGATCCAATTCATCTAATTGTATAAAAGGATTAACATAAACCATTCATAGTACTCTCTTATGACTTTTAAAATCTCTTTTACTGTATTTATAATTATAGACATTTTTACTCTTGTTTTTATTTATTTGTACCTTTTCTCTTTTTTTTCAGTCTTGCCTTAAGATTTGTCTTTGTCTATTTTCCCCAGTTTTTCAGAAAGCCAGTTTTTTGTTTTATTTAATCTGAATGTTTATTTTTTCTATTATTTTTTGAACTTATCTTCATTTTTTCTACTGGAGATTTACCCTGTAGTTCTTCTAAACTCTTGAGTAAATGCTGTGCTTGTTTATTTCCCATCTTACTAATTTTTAAATCAATGCATTAAAGCTGTAAAATTTTCTCTAAGTACTCTTTCAATGTGTTCCAGCAGGTTTAATATATAATACTTTCATTATGGTTATTTTCAAAATATTTTATGAGTTCCACTGTGATTTCCATCTTTAACGCAGGTTATTTAGGAATATGCTTCCAAACAAATGGGTTTTGTTATTTTTCCCCCTCATTTTTTATTGTTGGTTTCTAATTTAATTGCATTGTGGTTAGAGAACACAATCTAATGATGTAAAATCTTGGAAATGCATTCAGAATTTCTTTGTGATTTAATACATGATCAATTTTTTATAAATGTTCCACATCTTTGAAAAGAAAGCATATTCTCTATTCATTGAAATAGGAATAAACATTACATACATATATAATACATACTCCTACTGGATCAAGCTTGTCAATTTTGTTTATCAAATCTTCTGCATCTTTACTAATTTTTTTCTGTTTAATCTATTAAATTCTGATTAAAGGTATATTTATAATTTTCCACTATAACTGTGGATTAGTTAAACTTGCTCGGTAATTCCCCACATTTTGCTTTGTCATATATTTCAGGCTGTGTTGTCAGGTACACAAAGTTTACCATGATTATATCTTCGTGGTGGATTATTCCATTTATTACTAATATTTCATGTCTTAAGCTCAATTATATCTAACGTTAATCTTCCTACACTAGCTTTCCCTTGGTCAGTATTTCCAAAGCTTATCTTTTTCCATTCCCCTTTTTTAGACTTTCTGTGTTAGTTTTGTTTTACATATGTTCTTATAAGACCTTTATAGGGGATCATACCAATCAACCAACCAATAAACCCAATCAGATAATCTGTCTTTTAAAGGTTAGATGAGTTTTTTATTGAATAGCCTTTCTATTTGGGGGAAAGTTCCCATTTTCTTCCCTTCCCATCTTCTTTTGTATTGATAGATTTTTGGCTTTTTTAAAAGTTTCTTCTCCTTTACTAGATGCTTAAGATTGCTAATTCTATTTTTTTTAGTAGTTATCTTTAGATGTTGTAATTCAAACACTAAAACACACTTTCATTCTAATAAAGTCCAAGTAAGAGTATTCATTGTTTCTATTCTCCTCTCAAATTCTCAAAATCAGTGGAAAAATTTATCAGTTTATTTTCACTAATCTTGAAGTAAAATTTAGCATTTCTTTCACTTATAAAGAACAAACTATGATAATATTTACAGTACCTGTCACCCTATCATCAATAGAAATCACAGATTTCACATTACATTTCAGTTTTAATAGATATCCAGAATAACTATTTACATTCAAAACCACTTTGAAATTATAGTAGCTGTTAGAACCATTGCTTGCTCACTAATATGTTAATAAATGAGCATATATTACAGTCATGTACCACATAACAGACATTTTGGTCAATGATGGACCGCATCCATGACAGTAGTCCCATGAGATTAGTATCATATAGCTTAGGTGTGTAGTAGGCTATACCATCTAGGTTTGTGTAAGTACACTCTATGATGTTCACACAATGACGAAATCACCTGACGCATTTATCAGAACGTATCCCTGTCATTAAGTGATGCATGACTGTCCTATGTTATAAATTTTAAAAAATATCTGATAGCTATATTTCAATATAATTGGTTCCCTTTGTAATGCTATGTATTTTATTTTACGAATTTAAAAACATTATTCTCAGAAAACATCTATAAGTTTCACCAAACTACCAAAGCGTTCATGGCATAAAGAAGGCTAAGAAGAAAAAAATCCCAATATAATAAAGTTTATAATGTTTGGAGTAAATTTGTCTTGCAACTTGATTTTGTTGGCTGTTTTTGTTAGCATTAAATTTTTTCATACATTCCGGAAATTTGGGTTGCAGGCTTATTTTGCAGAAGGTTTTTTGGTTCTCTCTCTTTAATCCTCTCCCTCTATATTTCCCCACTGCGACAGTTTTGTAGCTACATCCGCCTGGGTCTCCATTCCAGAACCAGTCTTAACATGGTGGTTCAGGGTATTACAGACCCTGTCATGGAAACAACAGGTGGCTTAAATTTCTATCTGTTAGGGTATGTTCTTCCATCTCTCTAACCTCTCAGCCCCATACAAGTTCAAGCAGTGGTTCATGGATGTTTTTTTTCAGAGCAGTATCCTGAGGTGTGGGTGGGGCCTAATACAACTGTTTTGGGTACATTTCTTTTAGGTCTGTTGATAGAGTTGCTCCTTTCTTGAGCAAAATATCCTGACCCAGTGGTTGGCTTCAAGCCAGGAACCAGAACCCAACCCTCTATCTCCATGGATAAGGTGGCCTTTGTTGATTTTGCTAGGTTTCAAGGGAGAGAACTGAAGGAAAAATGCCTTTATATCACCATCTTTAACCAGTTTATTAGGAGAGCCAAAAGTATTGTTTATAGTCTGTAATTTTAGTTTCCCTCTTTTATCTAGATTTTAATTCTATTTTATTTATTTATTTTTGTGAGGAAGATCAGCCCTGAGCTAACATCTGATGCCAATCCTCCTCATTTTTCTGAGGAAGCTTGGCCCTAAGCTAACATCCGTGCCCATCTTCCTCTACTTTATATGGGATGCAGCCACAGCATGGCTCTACAAGCGGTGCGTCGGTGCGTGCCCGGGATCTGAACCAGCGAACCCTGGGCCACAGCAGCGGAGCGCGCGAACTTAACCACTTGCGCCACTGGGCCGGCCCCAATTTAATTCTATTTTAAACTTGGGAATGAACAGTGATTTTCTTTTTACCAAAATGCTTTAAAACATCTGTCTATTCTAGATAATCATATACTTTTTCTTTGACTTTTTTTTTTTCGTGAGGAAGATTAGCCCTGAGCTAACATCTGTTCCCAATCCTCCTCTTTTGGCTGAGGAAGATTGGCCCTGGGCTAACATCTGTGCCCATCTTCCTCTACCTTATATGGGATGCCGCCACAGCAAGGCTTGACAAGTGGTGCATCAGTGTGAGCCTGGGATCTGAACCTGCAAATCCCGGGCCGCTGCAGCGGAGCACATGCACCTGGCCGGCCCCCATCTTCTTTGACTTCTTAATATGGTAAATTAATTTAAAAATTTCCTAATATTGACTCATTTGTATGCATAATTAGCTGCATCTGATGATAGTATAAAGTTCTTTTAAACAACTTATTTAAGATTTTACATCAATATTCACAAGTGAAATTTGACTGTTTTTGTGTATACGTGTGTGTCATCTTTTTAAAGTTTGGTATTACCATGATAATGATTTCAATAAGAACTAGGAAAACTACTAAAATCACTTTCTGATTGTATTAGGCTATGTAAATCCAAATTCATTAACTCCTTCTAGAATTCAGGAAATCTTCCTTTAGATGTGAGGCTCACTTCTAATTTTGTTCTGCATTTCAGTATTGTGCTTGGTTTTTAGTGTAGCTTACTTTGTGAAATCTCAAAGATCCAATATATGATCAGAACCAGATAGCAGTATTCCATGTAACCTCCTCTGAGCTGGCAAGAACTTCCAAGTTTTATATGACTCAGCTGGTAGTCTGCGAATTTAATTTTGGGGTTGGCTTTTGACGTTAAAAGATAAAACTCTTCAAAAATCTAGTTTTATGTTGAAAAACCCCCAATATTTGGAATCCTTATGATAAAAATGCTACTTTGTAAACACATTTATACTTAGTCATATTACAAGTAACAGAAAATAGGCCTATTGTTCAGATTCCAACATTGGTACTGTTGTAGAAGGATAACCTTAATGGCACATCCTAACAATCCATCAGGCAAGAGAATCATACTTCTCACGGGGGAGTGGAACAGCTTCTACACAAGCTCAGCTCCAGTGTTCCAGAAGATGCGGCCTGGGGCCGAGGGGACCAAAGGAAAACAAACTACATGGTCCCCATTTTATGGCTTCCACAGAAAAAAGGGGAAAGACTACAGTTGTGTTTCTCAAGTGACTGGTTCTCTCATTAGTTAATGGATATAAAAAAGGAAGACGGAAAGATTCAAAAGTAGTTAAATTTGCAATCTCATTTTTTTAAAATGTAAAATGAAGGGATTTGAGTCTGTGATCTGCCAAGTCTCTTCTAAATCTAAAATTCCATGATTCTTACCTATAAAAATGTTATTAATGAAAGAATGTTGAACATGCCTTTGTGCGGGTGCAGAAAGCTGTCTCTGTGATAGGAATGGCATTCTTATTTGTGCTTCAGTTCCAACTATAGTTCTTTATGTAGGCACACTATTCTTTTTTTCTGCCCTTCAGGTAAAATTTTTTTTCTAATAGCCTTGATATAATTTCCTTAAGCAAGCAATACCTAGTTCCACTGAATATTTTCTCCTTAATACCTTATTCCCGCAGTTTTTCTCTGCAGTGTTAAATATTTTTAAAATGAATCTTAATCTTCCTTATTTATACCATATTTATTCTTAGAATCTTAAACTTATGGTTATTTCCCCCAGGAATAACTTTCACTTTGTATTCTTAACAAATGTTCCTTTGTTTCATTGTTATGAAAACAGATTTTTCTAGACACAGTATTTATCCATTAGCAGCTTATTTCAACTTATTATATATACATACACATATACAGACACACCCTACAATCATGTTTTAACTCATTAAGGTAGAGGACTCTACTAATGAGACCAAGGTTACGGACTAGATCTCCAAGCAGATTAGTGAGTTTTGTTTATTTGTTCCACGGCTGAAGATTACTCTTGATCCTAATATGCCATGTTGTGAATGTGTTCCTTTTGTTAAAAAGTGGCCTGGAAAAATATGGATGGCCCAGTGCAAATCTATGACCACAATTAGAAAATATTTGAAACACATGCCCTAATAGTAGGGGAAGGATGGGCCATTATTCCTACCCTTTAAGCTGGTACTGATAACTATAATTTATTACATTTTCTGAAAATTGTCTTTTTATGTTACCGCATGTTGAATGGTGATACTTGGAAACTGAATTTATATTTTGTAATGAAATATTATAGAATACCACAGAAAGGCATCAGAATTACCTTATAGTAATGATTTCCCCTGGGTTTGCCCTTATGAACCAGCTACAGTTGATTTTGGCAGGATATTCAGAAGGCCAGCCTGGGCTCGTGATTATACCACTAGGTGCTCGAATTTGTTCTGGAGTCTCTCCACAAGCTGGAAGATAGCCAAAGCAATCTTAGGTAATTATTATACTTTCAAACAAAGCATTAAGTAAATCAGTGTTTATTTAAAAAAAAAAAACACTTCAGACATCAAATCATATGCAATAAAATATGGTATTATCAACCTTAAAAAGCTTTTATTTTTCTAATGAGATATTTTATTTTCCTCCCTTTTAGTCAAAGTATCCCATTGTAACTAAGTACATGTTTTCAAATTGGATCTTCGAATTAGTTTGTCAGGACTGCTAGCTTTAGCCACAGAGACTGATGGATCTCTCAATTCATCCCATCCATCCATCTGTCCATCCACTCATCTACCCATCCATCATCTATCTTTTTTCAAAACTCACCTCTTAAAATTTATTTTCTTTATTATAAACTACCTAAAATTCAATATTTACTGAATTACTATGTTTAGATCCTTAGGAGCACCATGTTGCATTTGGGACACTTTAAATAAAATATTACATAGTTTTCTGAACAAAACAATTAAGGGAGAGCACTAAAAAGCACTAATAAACATTATAGTAAGATGCTGGATTGTTAAGAAGTTAGTGGATGATTGGATAAAGCAAAACATTACTTCAAAATTACTGCAAAGTAGTTCTGCAATTTGTTCCATTAATACTTCCAAATTTCATTACAGGGTCATCAATGAATCCTAAATTATTTAAAAAATAAAGGCTTGAAATAGTGATTAAAATGTCATTACACAAGAGACATCTGACTATCACAGAAGAATAAATTCATACTACTACCACCACTTTCCTTGATTGTTCTCCTTGCATTACCTTGAACTCTCACAGTAATACCTTAACATCTTACCTACCCAGAACTCAGCTGATAATCTGATGACTTATTCTCCCTCAATTTAAAAAATAGTCACGGGGCCGGCCCGGTGGCACAAGCAGTTAAGTGTGCGTGCTCCACTGCGTCGGCCCGGGGTTCACTGGTTCCGATGCCGGGTGCGCACCGACGCACTGCTTGGCAAGCCATGCTGTGGCGGCGTCCCATATAAAGTGGAGGAAGATGGGCACGGATGTTAGCCCAGGGCTGATCTCCTCACAAAAATAAATAAATAAATAAAAAATAGTCACAGGACCAGCCCGGTGGCGCAGAGGTTAAGTGCGTGCACTCCGCTTCGCGGCCCAGGGTTCACAGGTTCAGATCCCAGGCTCGCACCAACGCACGGCTTGTTAAGCCATGTGTGGTGGCGTCCCATATAAAGTAGAGGAAGATGGGCATGGATGTTAGCCCAGGGCCAATATTCCTCAGCAAAAAGAGGAGGATTGGCATCAGATGTTTGCTCAGGGCCGATGTTCCTCACAAAAAAAAACAAATAAAAAATAAAAAATAGTCACTGGGCTCCAAAAAAATGTGACGAATGTGTAAACCTTCAGTAGAATTTAAAATCCTAGAACTTCTTATTCGATACAATTTTGACAAATTTGATTATCTGATTTTTAAAGCAACAGCAGATTAGAAGCAGCAAATTAGAAGCTGGGAGAGTAGCTGCCAGGGGTACAAAGATAGTTATCAGAGTGATGGGGGTAATTTTCAGAAAAATAATAAAAAGTATGTGCTGAACTCAAAAAACACGAGAGCTCAGAACATGTGCAATACTGCCCATCTTCTAAAAGGTAAGAGAAGATTCTCATTATATCATAATAACTGATTAACGGTTATACCTAGCTAAAAGAGTTGTTGAACAAATAAATGAATCATTGCAAGCAAAATGCCTGGTACGATATGTGGCCTGAACTTCTATGCTTTCTGAGTTCTGCTGTTAGTTTAAAAACTAGATAACCCCATTTATAGATAGGCAAGTCTCCCTAGTACAATTATAATTTGGAAAAATGACCTTTTTTTTTGTAATAGAGGTTACAGTCTGTTCAATTTAGGTTAAGAATGCTAGGAAGTATACTATATAATTTTAAAAAGTTTTTGTTCATAAGGATCAAAATAAAGCACGCTAAATTGCTTAAAGAGTCATTTTAGAGTCATTGCTTAAAGAGTTATTTCTACAGAATAACCCATCCCCTGAAGAAAACATGCAATCAAGGTTTTAAAAATATATTTAACTGCAGAAGAAATGTTCATGCCTAAAATGGGTCTACCCTGGAATTAGGGTACATTGCAAAAGGATCTTGTTTTCAATCACTTTTAGATCGTAGAGATTAAAGGCACATAACACAAGGATATAATATATCAAGGGCCTAGCATACATCTTATTGTCTATCCACAGTCAAAGCTTCCAATTTTTTTTTAAGTTTCATTAAGAGTAAAATTTCCCTTACAAAAATTTTTTAAATTTTAATGAATGACACTTCAGAAAAAGACTAAATTTATCCAAATGTAATTCTATTTTAAGAACTTATTAACAATGAAGTACCAGAATTTTGCTTCCAATTTTGCTCTAATGAGTTATCACCACAATAATTAATGAAAAGATACCCTAAGTCATTTATAAGAACTTGTTCTTTCTTCATTATCTTTTGCCAAAGCATTCGGGAGTAGTATATTGAAGGAATTCTAAAGTTCATGAAGCTACAAACAAACATACAAATAAACAGGCAAAAACTACCCCTACTCCAGAATGTAGAAAATTGTTCATTTTCATTAAAAGATTCATCTACATTAAAGAGAATAATACAATTTTGAGTTCAATTATATTAACTTAGTATTATAATATTGTACTGCCATCTAAGTACTCAAATACTTACTAGCTGATTTAACAGCAGTGGGATATATCCATAAACTAGGTCAAAATGATTTATGACAAAGCAGATAATTGTTAACCTTTAAATAAATGGATGGACTAGCTACAGGGAAAAACTAGAAAGAATTTTATTAGGTTTTGTTTAAAATTTTTTTCCCAAATATCTGAGAAACCCATAGGTGGTGCTCTTCTACCAAAAACTAAATAAGTTATGTTCTGCTATGGATGCTCAAAAATACTGTTGTGAATATTTTATATTCATACAACTGCCTAAGGATAAGACACACCACACATAAATAAGAATGGTTAAGAGTCAGTATTTTACATTTCTAATTCAATAAGTACTAAAACCAAAACTATAGTATCATGTTTCTCCCTTAATTGGTTATGAATACATATTTTAATTTTGCACATTTGCAACATGACTGAGTTTGGCATTTTGTTTCAGATCCAGCCAGTGGCTTTTTACTAACACATTTTTACAAGTACAACACATTGGGCATGTAGATAAATATACTCTAGCACAACCCTAACTTATTCCCTTCTATATCGGAGAAGGAATAAATTCAAATGCCGAAAGAGTAAGATTAACATTAGAACCCATTAAAAAAATTTCCCTCCCTTTTTGGCTAAGAATTTGCATAAATATACACACGGGTAGATTTGGAATCAGAAAACCTAGATGCTGTCTGTCCTACCCACCACTTACTGGCTTTGCTATAGAGCAAACTACTAACACTTCTTGGTCTTGGTTTCCACATGTGTTAAAATAATGAGTTGCTATTTGAATATCTCTAAGGTCTATTTCAGCCCTAAATCATGCCCCCTGTCTCATCATCATGATATATTTCCACTATATTTCTGATAGCTCATCAGGATGCATTGATAAATTTTTCATTATTTTCTCACTTTGCCTTTTCTCTTTGACCCAATGAAATCAGACATCCAATTCCTAACTCCATAAAAACCTTGCTAGCAAGCAAAGGCCATCACTGACCTCACTGCCAAATCCAATGGACCCTCAGTTCCCATGGTACTTGATCTCTCTGAATTACTTGACAGTGATTTCTTTTTTTCTTCTTGATACTGTACCACCTTGGCTTCGCTGACAACACCTGCTCTGGTTCTCCTAATTCTGACTGCTCTGTCTTAGTTCTCTAGCCCTAGAGCCTCCTTCCTCAGTCAGCTCCTGGTACGCTGGTGTCCACGGTTCATTCCCAAACCTTCTGCTCGTCTCACTCTCTATGGAAGATCTCATTCACTCCTACCGTTTTCAGCTATGGTCTATGGTTCATGGGTTTAAAGTCTCTAACCTAGAGATTTTGCACAGTCAAATGCCCACTGGACATTCCAACCTCAAATTCAACATGATCAGAACTGTGTGTTTCCCAATCCTTCTCTTTATCTTATAGTCTGAATCTTTATTGTATTAGGCATCATTTGGTTAAAAGAATACTCACTTCACCTAATTCAAATAAATAGGAAATTTACTTTAAGACTACCACAATCTCAAGGATTTTCAAGCACAAGAAATAAGCAAAGTCAGGTCTCACAGTGACTAAAACTAGAAATTTCAAAGTCAGAAATTGAGCCTGCCTTCATCACATCTTAGGGAATTCAAGGCCTATTTTATCTCCTAACATCTGCTCCAATATCCCAATTGGCTTCCTCTGAGACCGCTTATGTTTTTGTTATTTCAGTGTCTTCTAATGATTTCCCATTCCGAACTCATCATAACCCTTCAGCTCAAGCACCTACCATCAACTGTAATTTCATTTTTCTCCTAGTTTATTATATTTATACTGTATTAATTATACATACTATACTATATTATAATATAGTTTATTATAATAAAAGTATAATATATTATACCTTTTTATATAAAAGATTTGAAATGATTTATTGTTGCAATCAATTTGATAATACTTAAGCCTCCATTTCCTCACTCGTAAATGAGGATTAAAACACTACCTACCACAAAGAGTACTGCAAGGATTAAATACAATTATTTTGGTAAAGGACTTAGCACACTGCTTGGATTACAGTCAATTGTCAACAAATAACAGCATATGATAATGCCTGAAATGCCATATTGAGATGGCTACTAAGGCTGTGTTCAGACTAAGTGGGAAAGCAGGCAGTGACTGTTCATTTCATATGTACTGGGCACCACTATGCTCTGGAAAGAATGAGAAATTACGCCACAATTAACTGGTTATCTGATACAGTAGAAGCCAGGGTAATAATGGGGTTGGGATACGTACAACAGATTG